TGGGGCTGAAGGCCGCCCTGGAGAGCTTGCCGCAGCCGGCGCCCGTCGCCGTCCAGGTGAGAGCGAGCCGTCCCGAGGGCGGAGGCTGTGGCCCCGGTCCTTGAGAACCGGTCGGCCGCTGACTCTGCCTTTGTGCTGCAGATCACGGTGCTGGGGACGCCTGCGGAAGAACAAGGAGGAGGCAAAATAGACCTGATAAACGCTGGAGCGTTTGACGGCCTGGATGTGGTTTTTATGGCACACCCCTCACAAGAAAACGCAGCTTACCTGCCCGATGTGGCCGAGCACGAGTGAGTGAGCGAGCGGGTTCAGGTGGAGAGGGTTGGCTTGTTATTTAGCCTCTTCTCCCCTCCCCGAGCAGGGGAGCTGCTTTGGAAGGGGCTGAACTTAGGGCCGGGGACCTTGCAGGTGCCCTTCAGATGAAGTATTTGCAGGCAGCTAAGGAGCCCGGTCGCTGTTCTGGACACTGAGCAGTTCTTTCAAAGTGCAGTGTTCAGCCTGGTGTTAAAGATCCCTGACTACTCTGAGATAATCTTGTGTGTGTGTCCTCAAAATCCGTTCTTTCTTCTGATGTTCTTAGATGTTTCTTTTTATACATGTGTGTGATTATCTTATCTATTAAAAAAAGTTGCATTTAAAAAACACTTGTTCTTTAAATTTTAGAACATGCAACTGGAGGGAGTCTCCTGGATCCTAGTTCCTTGCTTTCCTGGGCACCAGGTCATGTTGTCTTCTGTACACATTTTAATCAGTTTTGAAAGTGTTTCATGTTTTCTTTCCCACTTTTGAAAGAGCCAGCCAGCTGAGCCTGACCGCTGTTTGGATCCTTATTAACTTCCAGCCTAAACTTAGTCTATGTCCATTTTATATCTATTAACGCTCACATCAACTCCTTTTTTTTTATTCAAAGTAGTTCTTGGCTTTCCTTCATGTTTACCCCCAATATGTATCTATAGACAGCGGTCATACCCTCACTCAGGTTTTTTTTGCCAGCTAGCCGTATAACTCTTTGGAAATTATGCCTTGTCTTCTTTTGATTAGCCCTACTGTGCAGCATCAGCACTTGTTCGTTTGTACTTGGAGTGACTTGACTTGCCCTGAAGTAATCCTTGCTGGATGTGCATAACCAGAATTGTACACAGTACATCAGGTGGAATTTCCTTAGACTTTACTCAGCTGATGCTGGGACTATAGTGTCTCCTTATTTTGGAGACAGCTGGCATGTTTGGGGCTTCCTCTTCAGTCATTTTCAAGCAGTCAGCTCTTAGACACATGCTTAGTCTGTAAGTACATGATCTTTTAAAATATTTTTGAGTTTCATTCTGTTCTTTCTTTACTGGTCTGCAAGGCCATGGTGTTCTTCCTTTCATATTATCTTCTTGGAAACAACCAAAAGATCAATTACAAGTCATCAAAACACTCTTTGTACCTTTGGAATCTCATAATTAAGTAAATCATGACATAAGCTGAGTATTTCAAGCTTTAACAGAAGCTTTATCTTTCTTTAACAGAAAACGTCTTCTGTTTTCATAGTGTCCCAGCAGCAGTCTGTCAGGAGGCTTTGTTGTTATAACTGGTTTTCCAACCATTTCTGGCTTGATGTACTGAGAGCTGTTTTCATCTTGGTTGTGCTACCTTCCAGCTGCTGTGTGCTTGACTTTTATTGGCCATTTTGCTTTTGCTGGTGCTATTCCTGGTGGATAATTTGATTCTGTTACTGCTAAGTTTTATGGCAAAACAGACAAGGTTAGCAACACCTAGTCTTCCTTACCTAGCTAGTTCTCTGCTATATTCCATCATTGTGTTTCTAGAGAGTCTTAACTGGTTATTGCAATGTCCTTCAAGACTTATCTCAGCTTGGTTTTTGGTTGCTGTAACTTAAGATTAGTATTTATAAACTTCAAGATGCAGTTTTCATGAATAGTTCTGTCTTTCTCTTCATTTCAATTCTTGCAATAGCCTTCTGAGTTTGATACTTTAAGATTTGGAAATCTCCCTTCAGAGGTTATGGTCTGCTGTAGGATGCAAGTCCTAGACAGCCTTTAAACCTTGAATATGGAGGAGGCATGGAATTGAAGTACTGAGTGAAACAGCTTGCTACCTCCAAAAGCTTGAAATACTCAGCTTATGTCATGATTTACTTAATTATGAGATTCCAAAGGTACAAAGAGTGTTTTGATGACTTGTAATTGATCTTTTGGTTGTTTCCAAGGTATTTAAGGACTGGTGAACTGGTGATCACTAAATTGCAAGTCTTGCTACATCTGCAGACTTCAAAGCTGGCTTCTGCCTGAAGTAAAATTAACACACTTGGATAACTGTGGTGAATACATGCCAAAATTTGCTGATTCTTATTCACTTACTCTTCACATAATCAGCCTATTTATTGTTGGTCAAACAGGATCTGCATTCTTCTGCTAATATTCTTAAACTGGCTTAGGGTTTCATTATTCACCAAAATCTGGTGTTTTTTTCTGAGAGTATGTGACATTTGTGTAGCAATAGAAGTGCAAGAAGAGTGCTGAAATAACATTTTTTTTAAGCACATGTTTCTTGTGGGGAAAAAAGATGGCAACATGACTTTCTACTTGGCCTTCTCTTCAGTTTTTGGAGACTATCTAGGGATCTGTGAGTTCATTTGGGGGGTTGCAGTCTAATACTTGGGATGTTAATGGATAAGTTTTCTTATCTTGATTTCATAATGATAAATTCTAAATAAAACCTGTACTTCACAGAATGGGATGCATGGTTGTCTTGGAGGGTGAGGGAGGATGGAAAAGGACATGCTTAATTTTGATTGCAGGCAGTAGCAGGAGACATTTTCTGCTGCAACAGTATGCTCCATTGTGTCCCTCTTTGCTATCCAGTATTTAAGTTCTGGTATTAACTTACAGCTGTGGTGTGGTTCAGAGCATGAGAGGTCAGTTCAGGATAAGTGGCTAAGTTGGCATCTGTGCAAAACAGAGATGAGCAAGTTAGGCTGGTCCTAGCTGGGTAACAGACCGGTTGTGCGTCTTGGGGGGAACTCTTTGAGCTTGAGGGTAGAGTTTATGTAAAGGCCTGGGTATTGAGTACAAACAGATTTAGTTAAAATCTCTACTATTGATTAAAAAAAAATACTTGTGTATTTGGTAAGTAGTAATACCTTATGTAGTTGTCAGTATTTAATATTTGCCTCTTGTGTTAAGAGTTTTCATATAATTTGAAATACTAAATTATTTTGTAAGGCTACTATAAATGGCCCTCATAAGATGAAGCCAAGCATGAATTCTTACTGGATGTGTTTAGGTGCTGCAGCATTTTATGACTTCATAGAAGTTGGAGGATAACCTTTGCACTTAGATTTCTTCCTTGTTGCAAGCCTTTCTACCAGCATTTGAGGTGTGCAGGGAAAGAACATCCTTGCTGTAGCATGGTAATGTATATTTTATACTAGGCTATGCCTTTACTGCATTTCTAACAGTTGACTTTTGTTACTTAGACATGGCTTGTATGTGATCTTAGTAATGTGCTTTTGCTGTCATATACTGTACACATTTTATTGAAGTTTGACAAGAACTAGGACAATCAGCTTCTAATTCTGAATCAGAGAAAAGGGTTTGTTATCTTCTGGGAAGAATGTTAGTAACTTTAAGTCTCAGAACAGTCAGGAGGTATAAAGAAAGTACTGGAGACATTTAATTAGTATGTGAAGCCTGTACCTCTAAGAAAAAAGCTGTATAGTGGTATGCTATGGGTAGCTCTTTTGCCTGATTGGCTCTTGATATTGTTCCATTACATTGGTTTTCTACAAATCTTTCAGCATCTTCCTGCACTCAAAGACAGTTCAACTTTGCAACAGTGTAGTGCCAGGTAAATTGTTTGGTGTACTGCTGCACAAATCTTAAAATAACAAATACTTGTATGAACGAAAGGAACTTTTTATTTTAGAGGTTTTTTCAGTGAATGAAAAACAAATAAGCAATGCCTTTTATTTCCTAGTGTGACTGTGAAATACTATGGAAAAGCTTCTCATGCTGCTGCTTACCCTTGGGAAGGAGTTAATGCATTAGATGCTGCTGTTCTTGCATACAACAATCTGTCTGTTTTAAGACAGCAAATGAAACCGACCTGGAGAGTTCATGGTGAGATTTTCATTAAATCTAATGTCCAGCAAGTAAGAGTTTAGGCTGTTGAAATACTAACTTACAAAATCCCACAATTTAAAATATTGCATTGTTGCACTAAATTAGTACAGTCACTTCAGATATTATGAAATAGCACCGTTTCATTTAAATAGCTTGGAATCTTTAAAATAGTCAGTGTCCAGAACTAACTTCTGAAAATAGGCTCATGGGTCAGATTCAAAAGAGGACACCAGTACCTAGGTAGAGGCTAGACAGATTTTAAGTCTTTGCACTTGAAGTTGCAGTTTGGAAAGAAAGAGTGCTAAGTTGATTTTGGTACATGGCTTTGAATTCATTAAAGTTAATGTACATGTTTTTGCAAAGGTGCAAGATTAAATGCTTCTGAAAAATGAAGTATTACTTAAGCATTTTTGTAGTAGACATTCCATTAATTAGGTGGCATTTATAGTGACACTTAATGGAAAGGTGTAGTGGTCTAGAGTGACTGAAATTTATTTGCTGAGGTACAAAAAACAAGTGATAACAGAAGCCTATAGTTGTGGCTAGTAGCCCAATCAACTAGATGTGCACTGGATTCTAATGTTTAATACCTAGTAGACCTTGAAGTAGAAAGGTCATTTTGCAGTAAGACATGTTAACTGTTAAGCTTGACTCACACTCCAACATGATGTGTTTCTTCTTGTTTCAGAAGTTGAGATGGAAGCTGCCCTTTAGCTATAAACCCAGGTTTCCTTATCCCATCCAACACAACTTTTTCCAAGTTGAAATTAAGAAACTTTGTCACTTCTACAGGACTTCTGAATGTAGAATTGTTTATTTGGAATACTTGTTATGAGCTTAAAATGATTCCAGAACTTCCTAGCTAATGATCATTATATGTCTTGGCTGCTTGTGCTGTATAATACATTTGTGTATTTCTCTCCAGGATATCTGGATGGAATCTGGAAGCCCTTACCTTTTGACTAGATGAAGATGTTTGCAGTTCTGCTGTCCAGCATACCCAAATGAATTTCAGACAGCGGGCGTAGCCTTAGGTCTATATCCTATTGCTTTGTAGGAAACAAGGCACTTAATTATGAGTTTTGGTGTCTGAAACTCATGTGTTGCAGGTGTAAGATTGGAGGTGCCTAAGTCTTCTGTTGGATCTAAGCCTAAAACAGTAAATATTGCTTTCTTCATAGTTTCTAAAGGCTACATGGGTAATGTAGGGGGAAAAAATAGGTATCTAAACAAGCCTCCTAGAGGTAGTGCTTCCTGCACCACAGCAAAACTTTAAATCGCTGTGTTGATACAACTGCTGTCATAAACCTGGGTTTTCAAGCTGGAAATGTTTAAAATACCTTTGGGAAAGTATAAGCAGCCAGAATGAGATTTAATTTTAAGAATGCTTTCTTTACAACAGTGTGTTGGAGGTCTTGTCTTGCAGGCTTGCAGTAACAGCTGTGGCTGATTTAAGTGATCCTAAAAATCTTAGTGTTAACCCACTAACAGTAACTGAAATTTCCATTACTTGAAGTCCAGAATTTCTAAGCAATGTTTTATGTACTTGAACAATGTTGGTTTGAGTTTGTCTAATGTTTGATAAGTTTCTTTTTTCCCTGCTTATGAGTGGAGTAAATGTTGCCCCCTTGAAAAACAGGAATGTAGATTTTTTCCTGTTCAAGAAACTGTATTAAACAGGCTGTAGAAAAATTCCATCTAGAAGCAGGGCAAACTAGGTGCTATTAGGAGTGTGCAGGCAGCCTAATTTTAAGCTAGATCTGCTGTCCAGCCCATATTACAGTTGTTTTGAAATTTGTGTAGACATACTCTTAGGCTCTATCCAGTTCCATTTACAAATATGTTGGAAGACAAATGAAAGCTCATTAGGCTACTTGTTTTGAGCAAACATGTTATGATGTGTCATGCAAATTTGCATAATTACTTACTTGCTGATTTGCTGGTTCCTTTTCTGTGATGTCTGTCCCTCTCATCTGAGTTGTTCCTTTTGTTATGGACTAGTACTGACAGTGGTTTAATTTGGCACTCTGTTTACTTTGACTGTATTTGAGACTGGAAAGGTTTTACTTGAGGGGAGAGTTCATAGTCTTAATAGGTTTTCTGCACCAACAGTAAATATTTGTTGCCTATTTGCATCCTATAGTGCTGTCTTTTCAGGCTTCAGTGACACACATCAGTAACTTTGTGCAGTATTTCCATTTAAGGTAGATAGTTTCTCAGGTTCTACAGAAAACAAATCTTATTCCACATAAATTGAGATTAGGAAAAAACCAGCCTGTTGAAAACAATGAGCTGTTAATGCATTGAAATCTAATACAGAATTGAGGTCTACAATGGTTTTTTTTATGAAATACCTAAATATTATGGTCTTTTAAGGTGATGCCTCTGATGCCATAATCAAACTACATAGTTGTCCCACATTTCCTTGAGGGAATGCTCAACTCAAACTTCACTCTTGAATAAAACTGTACATATATTATACACCCCAATATTTCTAAAGAATTAGTATGAGGAATCTAATGAACTTTCTGTGCACTGCAACACACATTGCTCCAGTATTGCTGAGAAATGTAACTTAATTTCTCTCCAAGCTGGTAAAGTTGGAAACATTCTAGTTGAAGAAAGCTTTAAAAGTTGGAATCCAAGGTAGCCTTTATAACAAAATTTTCTTTTTCAATGGCAGCCAGATTGCTTTACGACTCTGATGCATTGAATTTCAGGGGATTAATTACAATTTCTTTACAATTAATTACAGTTTTGCTTGTCTTTAGGTTTATAACAGATAACCAAAGAATGCCATGAAATTGTGCTGAAAAACATGTGCACATTCCACTTAATCTGATGTGATGAAGAAACTTTGTCCACATACTGTATTTTTTACAGTCTTTATATGTTTATGCTCAGTTGATGGTTTTTTGGTTTTTGCTTATACATCTAGTTCTTGAGCAAGGAGTTTCATGACAGGGCTGAAGACCAAGCATTTGTATTTAACACTGGTAACATGACTTCTCTCTTTCTGCAGGTGTAATAAAAAATGGTGGTGTGAAACCTAACATCATTCCTTCTTACGCTGAACTAGAGTTTTACTTGCGTGCTCCTTCAAGGCAAGATCTTGCTGTTCTGACAGAGAAGGTTGAGAACTGCTTCAAAGCTGCAGCACTGGCCACAGGATGCAAAGTAAGAATGTATTCATGGTCATGTGTTTCTATTACACTGGAGATAAGGTAGGCCAGAACAGGAAATCAAGACTTGATGCTATTTGCTCTTCCATTGCTTTATGTCCTGAAAGAAAGCTTTGTTTTATAAATAGAATGCCACAGAATCATAGAATAATTTAGGTTGGGAGAGACCTCCAGAGGTCATCTAGTCTAACCCTCTGTTCAGAGCAGGACCAGTTACAGCAGATTGCTCAGTGCTGTGTGGACTTCTGAGTATCTCCAAGGATAAAATTCTACAACCTCTCTCAACAGTGCTCTAACCACCTCAGGGTAAACAAGGTTTTTCCTGATGTTTATACTGTGATGACTGGAGAGATTCTGGTGTTTCCATCCTTGGAGATACTCAAAAGCTGCATTGATACGGTCTTGGGCAACCGGCTCTAGGTGACCTTGCTTGAGCAGGGATGTTGGAGAAGATGACCTCCAGAGGTGCTTTCCAACTTAAGCCAACTAATGTGATTCTGTTGTATCTAATAGGAATTTCTTTTGCCTCTCGTCATACCACTGGGCATCCCTGAGAAGCCTGGTTCTGTCTTCTCTCTACCCTCCCCATCTGGTAGGTGTAGACAGCTTTGCCTTCTTTTCTGAAGGCTCAAAAAACAAGTTCTTCCAGCCTTTCCTTGTATGTCATGTTCTCCAGCACCCTAATCATCTTGGTGGCCTTCCCCTGGACTTGCTCCAGTCTTGAGTTCAGGGTTGCAAAACTGAACACAGTACACCAGACGTGGTCTCACAGGAATTGTCTGCATCAATAATAAAGATATTAAAACATAATGGCACCAATATTGATTGCAGATGGATGCTACAAGTAACAGGCAGCAATTTGGATTTTTGTGCCACTGACCATAATGCTTTGAGCCTGAATGTCTTCTGTGTCCATTGAGGCAGACCTGTCATCATGAAAAGCTAAGCTTGGTAATGCACAATCTGCTCTTCTGTGAATCTATGCTGGATAGTCATAATAGCCTTGATTCATGTGCCTGGACATGAGTCTTAGCAGGATTTATTTGCTCTATAATCTCCCCTGGATCTTGAGGATAGGATTGTCTGACCAGTCTGTAACTTCCAAGATCTTCCTCCTGGCCCTTCAAGATGTATGTGACCTTTAGCTCTTTTTCAGTGAGCTGGAGCATCCCTCTGTTTCCTTTGTGCCATTAAACAGCAGGCCCATGTAGCAACCAAATGTGAAAAACAGAGTGATTTTTTCAGTTGGCATTCTTTTTTTTTTTTTTGCTTTTAGTAAGTGGAAGTGTCTCCTAGCTGGTTCCAGCAATATCATTACCTTGCAATGTATTGCTAAGATAGGCAGTTCTACCTGCTCTGCAGTTACAGGTTGATGGCTAATACGGCTGTGAAAAGAATGAGTATAGTCATGAGAACAAATAGGTAGTGTATATGAATGTGAGCTAGTGACTTGTAAGGTCTATTTGAGGCATTAGATGCTGTTTTCCTAGTGTGGCCCCTCCACTCTAACAAGAAAAGAATTTCAGAAAGTCTACTTTATGCAGAATAACAGTTAAGATCTCTTTTGAAACTTGACATTGGTATGGTTTTTTACATTTGTTTTCAAACTTCTTGCCTGTGTGAAGCCATTTCATGAATGGGGCTGTAGTTATTGGAAGTGCTCTGAACAAAAATAGTAAAAGAGAATTTGGTGAAAGACTGAATTGATTTCTATGTAGTTTAATAGTAACTGCAGTGTAAATCATTAGAGGCTGTTACAGGAGACATTTGCTTACTATTTTTGGAGATGCTCTCTGAAATCCGTGCTTCTGGAATTTGGCTGGGTAGTGCAGGCTTGACAGAATACCAGCTGTGTTTTGGTGAAAGCTAATATTTGGCAGAATGTTATATTTTTGAAAGAAACTTAGCACTTACGTCTGGTTTGACATGGGCTTGAAGTATGGACATGTATTTAGCTTTTCTGGGCTTTAAATTGTTTACATTAAACTGTCTTAGGTTGTTGAAAGATTACTAATCATTTGGGTTTTTTGTCTAGGTGGAAATAAAAGGTGGTGAAAATGATTACTACAATGTGCTTCCAAATAAGAGTCTGCAGAAAGTTTACAAGGAGAATGGAAAGAAGCTTGGAATAGAGTTTATATCAGAAGACTGTATCTTGAATGGTTTGTCAGGTAACTTGATCTGGGTTTTTTTGTTATGACTTAAGCTTAGTGACTTAATTCTTAAAGTGTATGAAATAATGGGATAGAGGTAGGTTAAACGTAGTTTGGTCAGAAGAAAAAAGCCAAATTAGAAAATGTGAGCACTGTAAAAGGATTGTAGCTCTGGCCTGTGATTCTGTATTTGTAGAAGCTGAGAATTTTTCCCAACAGGTATGGAAAGCAGTAATCATTTTCTGATAATATTTGTGAAAATATTTCAAGTAAGAAACAGTTTCGTTGGGGGGAGGGATGGAAGGATGGAAAGATAACTGCCTTACTCAGAACATGAGGATGTGGAATGAATTGAGGCTCATTCTGTTGCTTTGAATTACAGAATCCTGGTTTATGCTATGAATGAAGAGGAGATTTAGGTTTTAGGAACCTTGTTTAACAATATTTTCCAAGCTTATACATCAACAAATTTACAAGCATCTAACTAATAATTTAGAGGGAGTTCTTGAAAAGATTTTTAAGTGGAAATTTAACCATCTCGGTAACCCTAATTTAAACCTCTTTCCATTAACAGGTAATTCTGTGCCTCTAATTTTAGTTCATGAGTTCAACAGATCAGTTTTCCAAAGGGTGCCACTGAAGTAGGTGTTCACTTCTGGGTCTTCACTATGTCTCAAACATTTCACTTTCTTGGTCTCTCAGAGGTATAGTAATAGGAGTGTGAATTCTTGAATTCTCAGGTGGCTTTCTTATTACCCTTAACAGTTTTTTCCAGAATCTTCCTACAGGAGCTCTGTTCAAGTCTTATAACTGCTGTTGATACTTGATAGCCTTCACTACTGATCATAACTGTATATATAAATGTTTTTGCTCCACTCATGTTAAAGGTTTTTCTCTTTCCTTAGAAGGAAAATACTGTTTTCAGTAAAAAAATGTTATTCCAATTAGTTTGATTGCAGTACTAATTTTCTCTATATTAAATGCAGATTATCTTTGGATAGTTGAGATCTTGATGTTTGGGGATAGAGTTCTCCAAACTTCTATTTGTGTGGGGGAGACAGCATATTCTGGCTGTTTTTCTTTTATTTCTTGCTTCCCTTCCAAATTAAGGCAACACTAGCATATTGTCTCCAGTTGGTTCATTGTCTCGGGTTTAAAAACAAATTATAACTAAAAGCAGATTTCTATTTTTCTTTATTTGGTGTGGTACAAGTAAGACAACTACTTTGCTCACTGAGCCCAAGAATGGTGCTGAGGAGCCTTCTTTAGAATGTTTACTGTAGTGAAACTTCCTGGAGCTCTGCGTTGCTTCCCTCAAACCATTGTATTAATGGTGAAGATCATGAATACTGGTGATCAGCTGGTTCAGAGGACTTTAAATGAACTTAGTACAGACACCTAATTGTAATAGGGCTTTCATATATAAGTTACATGATATGCTAAATGTTAAACATTAACTTGCTTAAACTGAAACTCTCCATATGTCTGTCCTGTCCTTAAATTGCTTGTCAAATGTCAAAATGTGCTTGAGCAATTATGTCTTTATTGCACACTGCAGTAGGCCTTACTGAATTTTCTTTCCACAGCTGCTTCTCTGAATTTTTGCAATGGGCGTTCAGGAGTGATAATGAGGCACAGTCTCCAGAGACATAGGAGTGGAATTTTGTATGCTACCCTTTTTGGGAGGGGTTGAGTGTTTGTCTCATCTTTTTCAAGACCTCTATTTCTGTTTAGTTTTCATATGGTTTTCAATGTTTTCTTTTAGGATATCAGTTTCTTCTGTTGAAAGGGAAGGAAGATAGCTCAGTTGCTTCTCCATGTCTGTGCAGCAGAAAAGTCGTTAAGAGATGAGCATACTCGCTGCCACCTCTACATGGGTATTAGTATCGGTCTGCTTACAGGTATCGCTCTAGGCAGCTAAGCACTATGAAGAATTCCTTTAGTCCATCAAATCACACTACCTTGCGTGTGCCTTGTGCACGCTCCAGTCATTTGGCACACAGCCAGGATGATGTGAAATAATGTGAATCTGAGTTAGCTTTGACCAGGTGCCATGACCTGTTTCTCTTTCTGCTGGTAGGGTAGCTCTGCTACAGGATATTGATAACCTCCCAAACAGATGACTTAGTTTAGCATGCCTTAGTTGGGGCACCCATGCTTGTGATAACTTACTCTGATATTTTTAGCATTCATGGGGTTCATTGGGTTCCTGTGCACAAGGCTGATACAGATAATTTTAAGAAGGAGCCAGTATGTTTTGAAAATACCACTTTTGAAGCTTGGGGCTGTATATAAATGCTTCATGGAATCTCTTGCATTTTCCCCTCCATTCATGTTTGTGGTAGTTACTGGCTTCTATTATGTGCTTGGTGACCTGAAGGGGCTGCAGTATCAGCTTCAGGCTATTTTTTGAGAGGCTGGAGCTCCCAGTACCTTTCTATGGCAGGTGGTGCACAAGTCTGTATACTGCATTGATAATTCTGATTATTTATGCTTCTAGAAGGAAACCTGATCTGTACATCTGTCAAGCATACAGTTCCAGATGTTTGTATGGAAACTGTTGGAATGTTTGATGTTTTTAACATGCTGCTGCTAGGTATGATAGAGGGGAAGATTTTTTTGCTTCTAGGAGGAAACCGAATCTGTACATTTCTAGCAAGCATACGGTTCCAGATGTTTGTATGGAAACTATAGTTTCCACCTGATGTTTAAACATTCTGCTAGTTATGATTAGAGGGGAAGACTTGACTGTGACATTTTTTATTAAAAGCTGCTGGGATTTTGGCTTGGTAAGCTCTCCATCTTACTAGAAAATGCCAAGTTTAAATCTCTTGCATTCAGCAAAAATAACTTGTAAACTGGTAGTAGATTGGATATGGATTTTAAGTGGAATTACATGACTGAGAGCTGGGATGCACTGAAATTGCTAATGCTTCATTTGCTGGGTGAGAGCAGGGAAAAAGGCCAAAACAGTCTTTTTAGCAGCTTGTGTATTAGGACTTAGTAAGGCAAGTCTAGAATTCTTGATTTAGTCTGGAGTAGGCAGAACTTCTAGACTTCTGGTTTGTCTTTCCAGACCGATGAAGGAATGGATCAATAGTGTAGACTACTGAAAATTAAAATAACTTGTTGCTGTGCCAAGAGTTGGATTTTCTTCAAATGCATACTGAATTTATGGGAAAAGGTCTCTTTTGGACAAGCTTTGCTGATTGCATTTGTCTGTAGGCAGAGCAAATAGCAAGCTAGTCTTGTCCTCTTTGATCCACATAATGTAGGCTCTGTGGACTCACTTTTAATAACTGTATGCTTCCAAGTAAAACCTATATTCTTCAATCATTTCATTACCAAGTCTTAAGGCATTAGCAATATCTTGTCTCCATGAAGTATCATGATATGGAGGCTACCTGATGTGTTACAAATAATTTTAAAATCTTTGGAGCAGTCATTTTATATGCCGTTGCCGGGGAAAAAAAAAAATCTTACAGCTCTGTTTGGCCTGAAAAAAGTTAATTGAGGTTTTAGTTGGTCATCCCTATTTTTCCCCGCTACAAAACAATGCTTCCTCTGCTATCTGAATTTCACAGTAACTGGTGTGTTGATTTCTCCAGCTTCTAAAAGTCACTTTAACAAATATTGAGTGGATTGCTTGTTTGGGTGAAAAAAAAAGGCACTCAGGAAGTAGTTGCAGACTCTTGGATGATTTACTATGAAGGATCTACTACTGTTGGATAGTATCATTAAATAGATAAGGCAGTACTTTGAGATAGGTACTATGACTAGCTAATACTGAAGGTGCTAGTCAGGCATGAAAGAATCATTAAAATCTGCAGCATTGCTATCAAGATTTTTTTTATGTCTGCAAAGCACTAGCATTTTGTCTGGAGTTTAGTTCTGATCTTGTTATTTCAAGAGTGCTTGTGCTGTTAAGGTTTCCATAACTGAGAAAAACCAAAAAGCACAGGAAAAAGTTGTTCTCAATCTGTTTTTGTTTAAAGATAGATTGTTCCTACTTCAGAGTCCCCTACCTAATGCTGAATATTTGCATGCTGGTGAAAAGCAGTAACTATTGGGTCTGGTTCTAAGGGCTGTAGCAGGAAAGTAGCTGGACTGCCTGAAACTCCAAGGTTACAGCTCTCATTGTTTCTGAATTAACAGCTTACTATCAGGAGATGCTTGATTAAAAAAAAAGTAAATGGAATAGGAACATGCTGATAAGTCTTCCTTGCAGTCCAGTAACTGATTATTGATCAGAAGCGCACTGGAGAGCAGCATCTGAAGATGGCTAGTTAGGGAAAACATCTCGGTGATGCGAGATTTTTGTATGGATAATGACTTGTTAGAAATGCTTTTATTTTAATATTTGGGGCAAAGGACATTCTGTTTTACATATGGGCTGGAGATAATATCTATCATACATTTTCTTACAGCATTCAAAACTTTTCAACACTTGTTCATTAAGAAACTTTCTATGCTGCTTCTAGGTTCCACAGACTTTGGAAATGTTACATTTGTAGTCCCTGGGCTTCATCCTTATTTTTATATTGGCTCTGATGCATTGAATCATACGGAGCAGTACACAGAAGCTGCAGGTGAGTGGAATTGAAAAGTGTTAGAGATTTGTGTTTGGAACCCTTATGCATTGTAGGAACGGGTTGCTGACTCTTCACTGCTGCGAATCTAGAAATTATAAATATTTCAAATTACAAAGGATCAAAGCTTTCACATGTGTGTATGGTATTCAAAGCTACTGTGTAGTAAATGTATAAAGTGTCAGTACTAGATCTGAAAGTGGCTGCATGTGAATACCTGTATAGAAATGGAGTTGCCTTCTTCAAGCATGATGGGATCTGAGCTGAATACAGACCCTGAAACAATTTAATTAGTTAATTGTAGAGTTCAAGAAAAAAGCTGACAAAATGTAGAATTTCTATTTTTGTGTTTAAAGTTAAATGTGTATGGGAAGGATGACCACTCTTCATACTAAAAGCCTGACTTAGTATGCCATCTAGATGGAAGAAATTAGAAGGATTATCCCTAGTAGCATATTCAGGAGAGTTTCTAAACATGAGCCAAAAGGTGAAAGGAATTTTTACTCCTAAAGCACAGTACTCTGGAAATGTAGTAGAGAACTGTATAAAACTACCTTTTCTAAAAAGGAAAATATGAACACTCATTTTCCTGTTTTCAGTCTTACTTGTTTACATCAGTAGCAGAAAGTTAAGTACTTTCATGTGAAAATTTGTTTCGAGGCATCAGAAAATAGACATCTCATTCATGCAAGTAGATTTTAAGAAACTGTTTTTGCAATTGAGACTTGAAGATCTTGTTTTATAGAATATGCCTTATGTGGTAAGCTAGTGGTTTGTATCTAATATTAGTAATCTAACCTGAAATTTCTCTTACTTTTTTTGCAGGGTCACAGAATGCTCAGTTCTATGCTTTGCGCACAGCAAAAGCTTTGGCAATGACAGCACTGGATGTCATTTTCAAGCCAAGTCTGCTAGAAGAAGTCAGGGAAGACTTTAGACAGGTGAAGCTAAAGGAAGAGGGACAAATAAATGCAGTAGAACCTAACAAAGAATCTGGCATTGGCATAGGAGAGTATGCATCACACTAAACGTTATTAAACGTCTCTCAGTAGGATTGACTTAATGGAGATGCTGTATTTAAATCCCAGAAGGGGATGAATAAACACATAGCTGAAGAAATGTTGATTTTTTTGGACTTTAGAAGCAAATAGTATCGTTGGTTTCAAAAATGTGCAATTTAATCTAGTTATAATGTTTGCTGTATTCAATATGGTGATGAATTTCAGAGAGAGATCTCAAATGTGTTGTCTTTAAGTTGCAGTGTTGAATAAATGATAGTGTTTAGATCCCTTGTCAGTGATTTTCTATGTATTGCTAAAGTAATATTCCTTATAGGGGAAATGTGGCATTTACATGGAAATTTTTGTTCTAAAATAAGCACTGTTCACCCGGTGATCATAGGCTGAATCTGATCTATGAAGCATTTCTCTCTGGCCAGTCACTTTTTCTTGCAACAAGATAGAGGATTAAAACCTGAGCTGGTTTCACTGGAGAGAAGGGCGTAGGTTTGGAAGTGTGCCTGGTTTTGAAAATATTGTGTTCTAGCAATGGAAGAGAACTGTTTGTATGGAAATGCAATTGGTAAAGGTTGGTTGTCCTGAAATGCATTTACCTTCCTCCTTAATAAATTTTGGAGGTGTTGTGAAGTCATCAAAAAATCGGAAAGCAGCTAAATATTTATTTCTTTAACACATTTAAACTACTGCCGGAAAATGCATGTGCACCTTTAAGTTCTACTCTAAGGAGTACAAGTGTCCACACAAGGTGTTGCACTAGCTTAACTGATGTGAAGGATATGTCTAAATTTAGCTAAACAAGTGGAAATTTTTTCCGCAAAGATGCAAGCGTGGTACTGTGAAGCAGTAAATGAAGGTAATCTTAAACTGGTTGTGTGCAAACCCCTGTACTATGCTCTGAGAAGCTTGCACTGAGGATTGCTTGTGCAGTAACTGGCTTCTCAGACCTGTTTGTTCCTATAGCGTAAGCAGCAGATCTGTTAAGTCTTGCCAGTTGTCCTTTCTGTATGTTCCTTTAGTCAGTTTAATCCTTGTTGTTTTGCTTCCCAGAGATACTAATGTTGCAAATTTTATCTAGGTGGTGGTCTGTGTGTCCAAACCTGTTAGGAATGGTTTTTATTTTGCTTGTTAAAGGATCATGTGAATACATAGAGAAGGAACTAAGCTTTTGTTGAGATACAAATTGCTGAGTCAATGGACAGACAGACTGAAAAAGCAGCTTACTGGTTAACATTTTCCTAAGCATAGGTATTACAGTGAGCTTCTGAGAAGAAGTCAGACAAGCTGTATTCCCCAGGAAGTCAGAATTTCAGAAACCTTGTTTTTAACAGTACCAGTCTCTAAATGGTAAATTCTAGAATTCTAATGAGAATTTCTATTTTAATTTCTATATTCAATTTCTAATTTTGGAAAAACAGATTCCTTATCTTGGTTTAACTGTGCATTCCCTCTGCATTTCTGTGCACTCTTTAACACAGACCTCCAGCTGCTAGTTAAGAATTCTATTGAGACTTTCCCTTCTTGGAAGATAAAAAGTGATTAGGCTGGCTTCTGTTTGTATCTCATGTTGGCAGTGTAGACAACATACTTTGACAGTTTTTAGACTTTCTGATACTTCTCTGTGCTTGTAGTAATAGGACACAGATTATCTGATATATTAAATGCTCAGTGTCTTTGGCAAAAGGAAGTAACTGTTTATCTGTTTCTGTGAGAACCAGAGGCACAATTAAAGGTGTTTGTTCTGTATTCCAAGCCAGTTATTTGAAGAGTTGAGCATGACCATAAGTATTCCAGGTGACCAGTGGGTCCATCCTTACACCAGTATCCTTGCTTTCATTAGCAGACAGTTTTGACAGATGGATGCATGAAACAGATGAGGGTTGGACTCTGAGCTATAGATATGTCGAGGATACTAAGTTGGATACTAAATCCAACTGAAATTTGGTTCAAGGTTTGTCAAAGGAACTTTCTCCTCAACTTTTAATTTCAACCCTGACTTGCCAGTTCTTGGACACAATTGCAATTCATTACGTTCTACTGGGTTAACAAGCTAGTTCATGAATTTCCTTAGCATATGTGGCTTTTCATTTCCTCCTGCACGAACTGCTTAACTTCTTGCTTTCCTGTTTTTAAGATGGAGTGTTGGGATCCCAGTGATAGCAATGCATGCTGTGGTGTTGTTTCCTACAAGCTGATGTGCATTACAGCCTTCTCAGTCTTCTTTGTCCAGACTCGCTGGCTGTTAGCTGCATCATGTCCAAGATCATTTAATTAAACATTTCTGCACTAAAAGCATGTCTTAATTTTGTTGTAATGATTGCTGGAATTAAAATGAAACTGAAGCACTGATTAAAGATGAGTTGATATCAATAAAGCAATTTAATTGTGACTGAATTTTCTTGTCCTTTGGTTAATATTGGGATGCTGCATGACTTTGAATAGCATGTTTTATTCCCCTTCCCCCCCAGTTTGGTATGATTATGTAAGAGTGAGGGTGTTTTAAGCTTTCAGTTTTGGTCTGACATAAGTGAGCAGGCTTTTTGTGAGGGTCAGTGCTTTTCAAATACAGTATTAATCTAGTCTTTATAATCTTAGGGCTGTTTTAACTATTCAAATGTTGGAATTCATAGAATAATGAGAATGGTGCTTGGGAGGGCTCTTCAGAGGATCTGTTAGGCTAAACCTGGTCCAGCCTCCAGCTTGAAGTGGGATTATTACCAACACTGATCAGGTGAGCTTGGCTGCATTTGCTGAATCCTGGAAGCCTCCAAGGATAGAAACTTTTCAACCTCCCTAGGCAAGTTAATTCTGATTTTTCTCAGAGTGTTCATTCTTGAGGTCCAGAACTAAAGCAGTTGGGGATTTAACGTTATGATTTTACTATCACAATGATAGTACATATGAGAGGAATTTATTTCCTGTGGAATGAAAGTCAGTTTGATTTTTTTCAGTAATTTGCTCATAAATCATATGTATATGAAAATGTGGCATGTTTTTTAAGTTACCCTAACTGCAGTTTTCCCCATGCTGTTTTTAATGTAAATATTGGAATATTTGTCAAAGGCTAGTACTTTTAGCAATGAATCAAGATGTGTAGGTAATAAACTATAATTGCTGAAATGATTCTGAACAGCTGATAGCAAATCACAGCTGTTTAAGGTGAGGTGATTATGTCCAGACTTAAGTCCAGAAATTAAAGCCTCTGCCAGCATACCAAGCTACAGTGTTTCCTTATTTAATACCTGTCCTGGAACTTGAGAGAAATATATGCCTGGTTTAAAACAAACAAAGCAAAAAAACCCAACAAAATGTGAAATGCGATGGATTTCTTGTTTGTGAAAAGATTTGAAGGAGAGCACTTGTAAGCTGTGAGCTCAGCTACCTGGTGTAGAAGGGTCCAGCAGCCTTTCTTCAAACAGTAAACATGCAGCAGCTTATGCTCTTGTGACTCTTATTTCTGTAATCCTTTAGTTCCCAGTGCCTGAGCGCCCTGTGCCTGGTCACACTGCAGTCACAGAGAGCAAGGCTGTTCCTGGGAATAAAGAGTCATAACACATGAGCTGTTGAAATAAGTCTTTGTCTAGTATTCATTAAAAGTGGTTTACTCACTTTCTAACAGCATTCTTAAAACAGATTTTTATTTAGAGCAAAGTCTTTGGGATTAAATCATTGGAAAGTAAAGTTGGTCGGTCTATATGATTTCCTGCTTTTTCCCTAAGGTTACTATTTCCTGGTCCTGAAAATAGCAGCCCTCCACAGAGCCTTTGTCTGCCAGCCTGGCGGACTGCTGCTGGCATCTGTGTGGTGCTGCTGGTATTATTAGTGCAGTCACCTCACCTCCATGCTCTGGCCTGGCCAGATTGCAGCATGGCTCTGTGCTGCTGTTTTGTAACTGCAGTGTGAGATTTTGGTGGTTTTATGAAGGATACAAAAGTGCATCCCTCTTAAGAGTTCTAACCCAAATTCTCTGCTAAGCCAAAGTTGGGTAAGATTGCTGCTGCTTTAGCTTCCTTTAGGCACTAATGGAAGCCAAAATCATCTGACAAACTCAAGTATTTTTCTCAACCACAACTGCATCTGAACTTCCTTCTTTAAAAGTAGTGAGAAGCCAAATGCCTCAGGCCTAGGAAAGAATGAAGTCCACATGGTTGTGGATAGTCTTAATAGCCATGAGCTATGCACTGCCATGCAGTGCTATTGTTTGATTGCTCTAGAGCACCTATGCAAAGTTACCTTTTCAGCCCTTCAGTCTCGAAGGTAACTGGCAAATGCAATACTGGCTTACCTCTCCTTAGCTCCTCAAGACCCATGGAAGGATAAAAGCACACAAATGTAGTACATGCTCATCAGAATTGCAGTGCTGGAGTCTTGTTTCATAACAACTGTTTGATAAGTACTTAAAATTCATCAAGAGTTGTAATTTTCCTTAGTTTTCCTGTTTATGTATGCTTTCAGTTCTTGGAGACCAAAACATGCTTCACACCCTACCATTTGTTCAGCTTTCATGGATTTGTTTCAGTGTCTGAACAGCCCTCACATATTGTACAGCCATCGAGCTAGTTGTGTCCTGTTGTGGAATGTGTGGCATGGGTGGTCTCAGTTGCTTTTCATTTCTCATAGCTGCTTCTTCAGTGCTCCATCAAATACTGTGCTGCCATATGAGCAAGCACAGGAGAGGGGAGTCCCAGGGGCTTCTACTTGCTCATCGGAGCTTGCAGGGCATTTGGATCTGTTTTGTACTGAGAGAATCACTTGCTCAGTCATGCAACTTGTAGAAAAAGAGACATCTAATGATTTGATTATTGTGAGAATATCCTTTTACTGGGGAAGAAAAGAGATCATTGATCTTTCTTCATGCCTTCTCACTATTCTATCTGTTTTCTGACTGAAGTTTACTTTTGTGCTGCTTCACCCCACCAGTAGTTATCATCATCCTTAAAAGACTATTAAAGGCTTCAGTCTCCAAAGCTCTTAATCTAGACATGCTGACAGAGCTTGTGCCTGTCTATCCA